GCGTTGCTTGGATAGGTAAAGTTCGATCCAAGCGCCCTGCAGAGCTTGAAGACGGCTTCACCCATGAGAACACCCCGCTTTTGGATGGCAATCGGGGGTCATCTGACTCTCAAAATGGTGATGCCAGTACAGCAGGACCGAACGGGCGCGACTCTAATTCTCGCCGGTCCCGAGGCCGGACCGTGTCCAACGCAGCCAAATACTCAGCGCCGAGTTCACGCAAGGACGAAGATACTGCGTTCTATCGACCACAAAAGCTTCCCCACAAGACTTGGTGGGAGTACATCCGCGGATATTCTCTCTTTTTCCCCTACTTGTGGCCCAAGGATTCCGTCATGCTGCAGCTGCAAGTTCTTGTCTGCTTTGTCCTGGTTATTATTCAGCGCATCGTCAACATCATTGTCCCGACCCAGATCGGTGAAGTCGTCAAGCAGCTCAATCATGCTATCAAGGAAGTACAGGATGGACAACCTTTGACTATGGAGCTCTTCCCTCTTCGCGCCTCTCTGTTTCTTGGGCTTCTCTGGATTCTCCAGGGCATGCTTGGGCCACTTCGATCCTTGCTCTGGATACCCGTTTCCCAATACTCCTATCGCGGCTTAACAACGGCTGCTTTCAACCATGTGCATTCTCTCAGCCTGGACTTTCATCTCTCCAAGCGCACTGGTGAAGTGCTGTCCGCGCTCAACAAGGGGTCTTCCATCAACTCTTTTCTGGAGCAAGTCACTTTCCAAGTCATTCCTATGCTATTTGATTTGGTTCTGTCTATTAGCGTCTTCTACTACAAATTCGGACCGCTCTACGCACAAATCAACCTTGTCGATACCTGCTGGTACCTCTACCTGACGATCAAGATGGCATCGACCCGAGCTGACCAGCGCCGCGAGATGACTAATGCTGACAGAGAAGAGGAGGCCGTCAAGAATGATTCGATATCTAGCTACGAGACGGTCAAATACTTCAACGCCGAAGACTACGAATCCAACCGTTATCGTGACAAGGTTGGAGCCTATCAGAAGGCGGAAGCCAAGGTGCAGATGGGGATGGTCATGATGAACGTGTGCCAAACACTCGTTTTCAATCTCGGCAGAATATTGGCCGCTCTCATCTGTGGCTGGCAGGTCGCCGTAGGAATGCGCGAATCCAGTGATTGGTTCGTCGTGATTTCTTACCTGACCCAGCTCCAAGGCCCACTCAACTTCTTTGGCACCTTCTACCGAACTGTTCAGCAGTCCATGATTTCAGGCGAGCGTTTGCTTGAGCTCTTCAAGATTCAGTCCACAGTTGTTGATACTCCAAACGCAAAGCCCCTTGAGAACTTCTCTGGCCACATTCGTTGGAATAACGTCAACTTCTCTTACGACCGACGTCGGCCGGCGCTGCGCAACATCTCGTTCGAGTGCCAACCTGGAACCACGACAGCATTCGTTGGCGAATCCGGAGGTGGTAAATCCACTCTTTTCCGTCATATGTTCCGATACTACGACTGCGATGAAGGCAGTATTGAGCTGGACGGCAAAGATGTGCGGGATCTGACCATCTCCTCCGTTCGTCGCCATATCGGCGTTGTGCCTCAGGACACAACTTTGTTCAACGAATCCCTCATGTACAACCTGAGATACGCAAACCCGAACGCCACAGATGAAGAAGTTTATGCTGCCTGCAAAGCGGCTAGCATTCACGACCGAATTTTGTCCTTCCCCGACCAGTACGAAACACAGGTTGGCGAGCGTGGACTCAGACTCAGTGGAGGCGAGAAGCAACGTGTTGCTATCGCTCGCACCATTCTCAAAGATCCTCGCATCATCATGCTTGACGAGGCCACTTCGGCCCTGGACTCGCATACTGAGCAGGAAATTCAACAGAATGTTTGGAACATTGGCCAAGGCCGCACTCTTCTTATCATTGCACACCGACTGTCCACAACCGCCCATGCTGACCAGATTGTTGTGCTCCATGCCGGTACCATTGTCGAAAAAGGCACGCACACCGAGCTTTTGACCGCTGGTGGCCGGTACGCGTCGATGTGGGAGAAGCAGAATCCGCGCCGAACGCGCACTTGACGCTGCCAGAGAAGCCACCTTAATGAGCCATAAGAAGGGAACCGAGACGCCTCTAGACGGCCATGGCAGTCTAGACTCTTCAGTGTCCCTTTCTAGCAACGATACAGGGCCCAGATCCAAGGCGGAAGTGTAGGCGCGGCTGAGAAAGCCATCACTGACGAGCATTCAGACGAGCGCAAGCTATTTCATCAGAGACCGACTCGGTTTCATTTGTTTTGTTTTTCGGTGTCGAGGCATTCTTGATGTTACAAAAAAGACCGGGCTTTTTTGAGAACCTGCATACGAGCGGCGTTGATGGGGCGCCTGTCTCGTTCCGACTGACAAATTGTTGTGTTCTTTCTTTCATTTTGCTTTTGATCTCTCATTACCGTTTGGCTTGCATTTTCATTTTAATATTCTCGCCACGTTACGGAACCTAGACTATCACCCAATTGATCTGTAATTTGCTCGTGCGACGGACACGCGTCAAGCGCGGAGAAGAAACAAAAATGGCTGGATGTGAACGAAATGGAAATGGGCCTATGAATTGCGTTTGTTGTTCTTATTTGCCTTGCAAAAAGCAGAGCGCATCCTGGCACAAAACGGTGTGCTTTACCCTTTTACATTCTTAAAGGGGTAACTTTCAGGTCTTATAAAATTATGTACATTAATGTAATAGTATTATTCTAATGTTATCGGTGAATCAAGCGGTTCTATGAGGGTTGAGACGATTTAATTAATCCATCTAAATGCGCACTGACCCTAGCGCTGCCTGTCACGACAAACGAGGTCGTCAGGCCAAGTCTCTCTCTGCATTCGCATGGGGCTCATTTGTCTTTGGCTCATCCATCTTGGGCGTGTGCCCGCCAGTGCGGTCGAACACTACAGTCTTGCGCATCGTTTGTCAACCACAGATCATCATGGGCTGGGTAACAGCCGCCGACCTGCACAACGTTACAAGTCCTTAGGGCGGCGCGAATCCAAAATGCAGCCCATATGAGTATTGCCAATGCCGCCACAACCCCGACGAACCAAAAAAAACTTGCAAGAATTTTGTCGGATTTTGCGTGAATCCATGCAAGCTGCATAGCATTGCCGCTTTTCGGCGCATAGCATCCGCGTTGTTTGCGTACAAATTGATGCCAAGATAGTGACAGACGCGGATGGCCTCCAGCTCGGACCCAAAATACAGCTGCCCGGCAAATACATTCAAACAGATGGCGAATTGCGGAGGCACACATACGTCCAGCTGCTCCGGCACCGTGTATAAGTCCAAAGCATCCAGCGCACTATAGCCCTGGTTCGGCCGCGGCGCGTACAGACACAAGGCCACACTGGTGGATTTCTGGATCGCCGGCAGTAGCATTTGCGCCTCATAGGGGCTAATAACCATCATGGTGTCAATAGCGGGCGCTTGGGACCGCGGCGGGCTCACCAAAACCCACTGTATAGGCCGCTGCCTGCAGTCGGAGCCGGCCCCATCAACCGTCTGCGCAAAGTCCCGCGACACATACACATGACGTGGACATGTATTGAGATCCAGCTACCGCGCGGCACTCGTAGCCGACAGCGAGGCAAAAGCCGGCACCCGGGCTGACGAATCCGCAGCCAGGCGGCCCGTCGCCACGTAGGTGACCATGTCCGGATGCAGGGCATGCAACGCGGGCTTCTCAGGCGCAGCCCGCTGCACCTCGCGCTCCCGCTCAATCTCGGGCGACAGCTTGCGCTCCTGCTCCTCGCTCAGCGCCGCGACAAAGTGATCCATGAGCCTGAACGCGCGGAATCGCTAGTTGACGAGATCGTCGTCGCCAGTTGCGGCTGCGTTGTCCATGCGTGGCGCATAGCGAGTCTCCGTCGAAACGGCCTCTTGCTCCGGAAACTGGCTAGCTTGTGGCCTTGCCATTCGGAGCGTGCCGTCCTCTGTCTGCGCCGCTTTCCGACTATGGCCTGCGCTGGTCGACGTCGTCCCTGGACGGCCCACAGGGGAATGTTGCACGCTGCGTCTTCCCAGGTGCCTTGGATTGCCCATTGTAGAACATCGTGCTTCTTCCTGGAGCAAGATGTCTTTCAGAAAAGTACGAACCTGAACCCTTTGAAGCCGCCGACCGGCAGTGGAGAATGCTCACCCCAGTCATGGGAGGGATGTCTGAGCTGTCTAGCCTTCACATTGGGGACCCTAGCTGCCTTATCAATGGCAGCCCACGGCAGTCAAAGAAAATAGCCAAGCTACTGACTATGACACTCGCCTCCACAGGGCTTCGAGTCAACAACTTCAAAATTTGGGCCACGGTCAGCATGATCTCATCTATCCTCCGCGAAATACGTATAGAATTGCTCCAGGCTGGGCCAACGGTTGGTAAGATGTTCATAATAAGGCCAGGCTTTCCAGCCTTTGCACATCACATGTTTGCAAGGCACTCACAGTTAAAGATGCTTGAGATTCACGGGGGTACGGTCGATACGGATTTTACGTTTACTAGGGAGATGCTTAACGTGTGCGACGACTGCCTGCTGCATATTACCTTTGTTAAGAAGACAGTTGAGCAGCCGGAAGGGACCCGCAAATGGGTGAGGGAAATGATAGAGGAATTTAGGCGACCGCAAGGCAACGCGCATCATCGTTGCTCGGCACATAAGTCAGAAAGGCCAGTGGTGGTGCAGTAACTGCGTTTAAATGAGCTATCTGTCTAGTGAATTTTGGTGCTGCACGGAACCCGTAATGGGCAAAGGCATCATGTGTATTGATCCGAATACATCTTCTACCAATGAGACCATTCTGAGACGATTCCTCCCACATTTTCCCTGTGCCTTCCAATTCGCCTGCCGTGCATTCTTCTCAATTTTTGGGTGCGTCGTGCATATGTCGAACCCAAAGCAACCGTTCGATCGTGAGCGTTTGGGCATCCCAGAACCGACATGGAATTCGACGTCGGCCACGGTCTGTCGGTGAATAGTGTATCAACGGCCCGAGCCGTCTGGATCATCAAAGTAGCGCAGCTTCTCATCATCGGGCTTTGCGATCTGCTCCTCGCCAGGGCCTGCTCTCCAGTTGCGGCGGAGGAGGCTTTCCGGGCAGCAGCGACGGAAAACGCGTGTGGCCCAGCCGGCAACAACCGTTGTGCGCGGCCCCGGCGGCAGGAACTCGAGAGCGGCTATGGCGAAGAAGTGCGGCAGCAGTAAAAAAGCAACAGCTCGAAAATGGAAGCGCAGGATTGTCGTGCCGTCGCAGCCGCTCACGCCGAGCGGCCACCCGGTCCACTCGGCCAAAGATTCCACGCCAATTGAGGAGACGAGGGCTAAAATCAGGACGCTCAGGTGTAGCCTGCGTGCAATCACCGACCAGGTCGACGCCGACAGGTAGTTGCTCAAGCCTTGGACGCTGTACACAACGTTGGAGAACAGGCAGGTAAGTAGGGACCAAGGCCGGCTAGTCTCGCACGGCCACGGGTCCATGAGGTAGCAGCTGCCGGCGAAAACAAAGATGAAAATTGACCAGCCGGCCAGCATGTCGAGCAGTCGGGGCACGGAGCTTTGGTAGGACATGGTGAACTTTGAAGAGGGTGTTTGTTTGGGAGAAGGGGAGCTGTGGAGGAGAGCCGGCCGGATATTCTAGGCCCAAGTGCCAAAGTTGAGATGAAAGGTTGAGCTCTTTGGTTAGAAATCACGCCCTTTTGTTAGTAGCCAGCTGGCGAGTCAATTTTGCAGGGCGCAGGAGGGGCGTGTCTCGCAACGTCGCAAATCTGCCTTGCCGGGCACTACATAACAAGCCGTGCCGGTTTTCTGACCACAGATTGGGTGCAGGGGGGCCTGCCATGGGCAGGGCAGACTCTCAAACTGAAAGTTAGAGGTGCAGCTCCTTTTGATGAAGGAGGCCTCAGGGGACCGAAGATGATGTAGGAATCATCTCCCGAAGCCTAGGTTCTGCTGCTGTCTTCCGGCCTGGGCCTGGGGCTAGATTGGGTTCATGTCTCCTGCATGCTGCCGCGTTTCTCTCACTATTTCATACGAACTTTCGTTTGTTGTTGTTGTTCCTTGGGCGTTTGCCATGCGTTTGTGTCTTATCTTTCGATATTTTGTGCATAAGTCGTACTGTTACGAGCCGCTCACATTGGGTTTTTGGCAAAACTCGAAATCACGGCCTTACCTTCCATAGTAGGAATAAGGCATGTTCAGAGACCGCCTCTCCGCCTTCTTCCCGCGTACTCAGGTACCAGTACCTACGCGCGAGGGGGGGACATGCCCTCTGTGGCCATACAGGGCTGCCAGCCTGACTACAGATTAACGACAGTGTAGTACCCATGCACAGACGGGGGGAAATTACCAACTCGCTGTGAATGAAATGGAATAGCTGAGCCAGCACCTTGCCAGGCCGTACATACACGGTCCGAGAAGGTTGTGTGGGTTATGTGGCGGCTTCCAAATCGAGGGCATTGTGCCGCGCGCAATGGTACGTTGCCCCCGATCATATTGAATATTCGTGACGGGTCCACAGAGCAGATCAGCGTCCCTTGGCGTGAGATGAACCTCTTCCTGCAGAAGTACCTGTGGGTAGACAAGGGCAAAGGTACCAGTTCGCCATCAGCGGAGTGGGCTAGCTGAGCGGCAGCACTCCGGCCACGCCGTACCGCACACAAGCTCAGAAGTCACGAAAGGTGTGTGTGTGGGATAAGTGGCGGCCTGTGGGTGCCAGGACCAACGTGGAGTAGGTTCTGCTTCCGTACATGCGAGCCTTGCCGCACCGGTGCTGTGCGTCACGCGTCTTGCAATAGTCGATGTCTTGTGGAACTCATTTGAGACGGCGCAAATTGGTACTGACCCGCTCTCACTGCGACAGACGATGGGAAGAAGGAAGAAGGGGGGTGCAGCATCGTTTGGTTAGTGTTCCTCTTTGAGGCAGGCGGGCGGCGCCAGAGAGATCCCGAAGTAAGCACGAGTCGACGCCTGTCTGATAGCGTTTCAGTGCCCTTGCAACCACGCTACTGGTTTGCCAGAACGCCCCTATATCGACTTCTCACCTGCCGGCATACGAGAGCCAGCAGTACTGATCACTCTTGGACGCACTGCCGCTCATTGAGTGTCCGTGTTACTATGCATGACCGGGAATCCCAGGTCAGCCTGCAGGTCAGCCCGCAGGTCAGCCCGCCATCACAGCGGTGAAATTCGTGCCCCTTGCCTTGCACCGATCCAGCGGGCTACTACCATGCTGCAATGGTCGTGGACGGGCTTGGATTGGTGTCGATCTCTCTCAAGGGGCCACCAAGGCGACTAGTTGTGAGCAAAAGTCATGCTGGCTGGTCCATCACACGCCACGCAACCACTGGCTGGGACGGCTTGCCTCGGGTATATCCCCCAGAGTCATTGCCAACAAGGGTGCGACTGGCGGTGTGGTAGCAGCCAAGGTCGGATGTGTTTGCGCGGTCTAGCAGTTCTACCAGGACCCAAACATGTCAAGTACTCCTGTGGACCTAGCCCGATATCATCACCGATATGCTCTGTTGACTGGCTTGTGCACTATCTTCCGTCCAGATTATCGTCTTGGCTTCAAAATTCCGACCAAGAGGTATTCCTTCTGGATAGTTTCACAAGTCGAGTTGATCCAACGCCGAACATTTACACAACCACGGCCTAGTAGTTTCTTTTTACAGGAACAACCGTAAAATAGTGGTTTCCTTCTTTCTCGGTCTTATAACTATCTATTGCTTGGTAGTATACGGGCGCCATTATCCCTCTCTCATAGATTAGAGCTCTGTCACATTGTGCCGCGTGCACTGCTCCTCATGTCAGGCAGAGGACTTCTCTCCCTCTTTCTTGAACCTGATGCACCATACGCTCCCACCAGGCTTGCCTCTCGGCAATGGCGCAGGGCAGTTTCGTGTTTGGCGTGGGCACTGGGATTTTCTTGCCCATCCAGCTCTGAATACGTTTTAGACTTTCGTAAAGTGGCGGCACGCTCTGTCGCAGAAAGTTAATTAGCAACTAGCATTGAATGGAGGAGCATGTTTTCTCTTGTGAATGTTCAAACTTACACTGCGAACAGGGGTTTCAATGACTTCCTGAAACCAGGCATTCGCGACTCGAACATGTTCTTCTACAGTGGCTAGTAGCCCGAGGAAGAAGACCGGCAGGAGCGGGGCTTGAGCCGTAAATAAAAAGCCTGACGTTGGCATAATAGAAATGCACTTGGCTAAGTCGGCTAAGTTTTCAATGACCATCTGGTGGTTTCGTGGAATTCTAAGCAAAGGTCAGCATGTTTTGATGCAAGAGGCAGAGGCGCAAGAGTACGTACTTACCTGGACAGGCGGCACAGCATATAGACTATTCCAGCCAGTTTCTACGCTTCCGCCGTCACCTCAGTCATCTCTTTCGCATTTTCAACAACGTGGTCCTTGCTCGCCCGGCGAATCCTTTCAATCGGATGCGGTCTAGTCTTAGCGTTGGCCTAGATATCATACTCTCCACTCCACTGCTTAAGGTCCAGAAGCTGGTAGCGGAGCATATCGGCAGTCTCTGGGATGATGGGCGTTTCGCCATCTTGGAGCATGAGTGTGGCACAGTAGGTCACCTGGCTGAAGATGTGCAGCAGACGTCTCGAGAACCCACACCCGCCGTGGATTTCACACATGCCTTCTTCTGTACCGGACAACAGATATCCGAATCTAGATTCTTCGGCAACGGGGTTGAAGGTAGCGAGAGGCGGGAGGGGCATCATCAGCTGAGCCAAAACGACAGCTTTAGCAACGATGACTGATTGCGATAGGCGTAGGGCAGAGACCTGGACATATGACTCTTCGTAAAAACGAGAGCCTGGATCCGTCCGCTGCAGCACTTTCTCCGCCTCACTGAATCCCATCAACCAGCGAGGGCAGTGGGGTTTTCGGAGCCTGCACTCCGTGAGAACCACATCCTGCATAGAGAGCAATGACGCCAAGGTGACTAGCTCGACAGACTCGCTTTCGTCTAAATTGCCTGCCTGGAGCAGCTCGCGGAACCGGGCTTTGGCGATGGCAAATCTTTCGTTGACTTGACCCTGTACAATGACACATGACAGATAATCATGAACATAAATACCAGCGAGGGACTGTATAGCGGCTACAACAGCGGGATGTTGCATGCTGGCGAATTCAGTCAACCACAGGTTGGTTTGTTTAACACACTTCGCCCGGGACACCAGTTGTGGATGTCTGTAAAGTAACAGTTAGCGCAGATATCCAGCGAGATATGGCGACAGCAGAACTTACAAAAACCGAACAGCTTTCTGCCCATGTTGTCCATCGCCACATAATGTCCGAATTGTGACGGGAGTTGCGGGACCTTGGTGGTATCATTCTGACAATATGATCGTAAGCTTGCTGTCGGAAATTGAAGATATGCGCCGATTTGGGACGGCGGCAAGGTTGATGCTGCTCGATAGGGTGAGTCGTTTCCTGCCAAGAGAGTGCTGGTGGAGGCCGGTGATGCAAAACATCGACGCTGCAGCGATCGCTTAAATCCTTGGCTCGATGTCTGTGTAGCAGCAACGGCTGAGGATAAATCGCCGATATAATCAATACTTGCCACTTCCACAGTTGTTGATGACCGTTTGTCTTCTTCGCGGGGCCAGGAGAATTTGACATAACCATTGACTCTACCATCGGACGGCCGAGAAAATGTCTGAAGTTGTTTGCGGCCAAATGAGCCGATACAGTCATGAATGGGATGGTAATGTCACGGGGCTCTCGCCGGCGCTGTACTTGGTGGTTGGGTTCGGGTTTTGGTGATAGACCGCGGGCCGGCTGTGTTTGAAGTGGTCGCGGAGCAAGCCGTAGCTGAGGCGTAGGTTGCGACTGCAGAAAAGACTGCAATTGTAACGAGGGAGGGGGCGCAGGCGCAGGTTGCAATAACTGTTGCCCTCCTTCGACAGCAAAGATAACATGCTGCGGCTGCGAATAAACCGTGGCAGAAATGTCGGCGGAATCTAGAGCGAATCCTGCAACAAGAGTAATCAGCTTCATATTATTAGTAGGGCCTCTCCGTGGCAGGGAACAGCCGTTGGCTGCGGAAGGCAGACAGGCCAACTTTCCACGTGCGTGCCTTGCGAGTTTGCAGTCGTCAATCAATGAAGCCAGATCAAACCAGCTTGCGGGAGAAGGGGGCGGGTGACAACGCCTGGCGGATCGATTGAAGCTGCTCATGGACAGCCGCACGGGAAGTCCAATTGAGGGAATAAAAGGGGGCATGAATCTGCACAGGTAGCAGATTTGACAGACATACCTGTGTCCCACGGAGCTGGAGGTATGTGATCGCTCACGATCTGCCCATCGATGAAGCTAGGGCTCTGGCCTGGTGTGACCATGCCGTGGTTGAAAAAGGCCATCGCGACGGTGCTGCTCTGGACGTTGGTGCTCATGGCAGTGGCGCCCGGATTGCCGTGCTCAGCAACGGGTGAAGCCCGCCGAGTGGAGTGGCTGCGCTGGGTTATGGCATGTTGCTGCGAATCAGAAGAGTAGTCGACGTTTTGCATGTCTGATTGATATATATGCTGGCTCAATTCGGGGAAGAAGGCGTCGCCCTGATGGGTGGACAGGCCGGGCGCAACGGCGCAGACGGGCCTAGACATGGCAGGTTGGGTAGGAGCGCGAGAAGCATCACCTACATACGTCGGAGGAGGAGGAGGAGTAGCCCGAACTTTCGTTGGCGGGGGGGCGCGTGGGTGAGAGAGATGCTCATACTTTAGAGCCTTGCAGCAGGATTCACAGCGGCGGCCATCGCGGGAGAATTTGTCTGGCTCTTTGTGTATGCCTCTTTTGTGATGCCTGCTTAAATCTCTGGCCTGAAGAGGGTGTCAGCGGCTGAGGAGGGGTGCAGATGTCCTAGGGTGATAGTCACTGTTCAGATGGCTAAGGTCCTATTATGGCAGGCACTTGTGCCACGCCCCCACACTCTGTGGTGGAGTGCGGGGGGCGTGGCACGCGTACAGCCGAAATTTGTGTTTCCTCTGTGGAACGTGGCGCGGCGCCATGTTCTGGAGTATCCACAATCTCTGATAACGGAAAGGTGGGATTTCGTGTTGTGGCTGTGTCCGCCAGCCGTCTCGTCCCTATACGCCGAAATTATCAGCAGCTAGTAGACATGACTATGACAGAAGACTTGGGCAGTCCCAGGCGCATATCTTCTCTAGACAGATTGAACTTGCATGACAGAAGCAAAGCTACACAACCAAAAATTACATCACATCCTTAACCCCGCGCCATGGCGATTTTGTGCAGACACCCTCGGCGCATTCACTAGTGCAAGTGAAAATTCATTGGACGCCGCACTGCACGTCTAAGTAGGCTGAGACCAGCCGGCCTCGGCGTGAGACCTAGGGGTACCCGTAGGAGACGAAGCTTGGTGAGGTACTATTCAGTAATTGGGACATCAGCGGAGTCTGCTGGCCCCCCGGCGCCACCAGGCCATGCCGGACCGTTTCCTGCACCCGACGTCTTGAAAGGAATACATCGCGACCCCTTGCTAGTGATTGTCGTACTGTGACAGCTGCCTACAGAACGAATGCGAGCTATCATACCACCCACGCCTGAGCGACGCGTAGTCGACGGACAAATCCTAGCTGAACAAGCCACTACTCGGCTTGCCGGGCCGTGGCACCCCCTGTGTTCGAGGCGCATCTCACTCTGGTTGGCGCAGTATCTGCAACCCTCGTGCCCGGAACGAGCGCTGTACTTCTTCATGCAAGTCTATACAACTAGGGTCCACGGTTCCGCGGCCTTTGACCTCACCAGAGGTACTTCGTTTGGCACCTTGGCCATGACCCCGCTGACATCCCTTGCACTATTCCTTTATTGCAAAGAGTGGAACCCAGGGGAAGCAGATAAGACATGTATCTCGGCTACACCATGAGGCGTTAGCTGGACTAAGCGTCAGTTCAATACTAACGCAGCATGACATCTACCTCTCCTTGCGAGTTTCATCGAGACACCAACTCTCTACATATTCTCAACCTCGGTTTCAGTATGGAATGAACATCTCAACTCTTGGGCATCGTCTCTTTTCTCGTCTTAAACGCCGGCCAATGCCCGCTGGCGGGATGGGCAGCGTGGGCAAAAGCGAGGGCACATAATAAACAGCAGACCGGCGTGAAGCCGCTGATAGACTCCTATTCACTGGTTCGTGTACTCGGGACCGTCGCCGTGCTTTCGCTACTGGCTCTGCTTCCACTCTTTCTGACGTGGTCAGAGAGGACAGAACGGTGTACAGAAGGCTTCCCAATGGTTCTTGGATTATCTAGCGAGGTACATCCCCAATTCATCTCCTCCCTTGCGGCACTAACGTGAGCGCAGACGGTTCTGTCTTGGACGGCGTATGACGGAGTGAAAAAGTATTGGTGCGATGCGTTGCTGGGATACCCTCTTCTGCCCGTTGCCGGGTGTTCACTCTCGCTTGCGGAGTCTTTACTTGCGCTTCTCGGGCTTTACAGCCGTTTGACAAACATCTTGATCGGTATTGGTTGCATTCTGAACGCCATTGGGTTGTTGCTATTTCTATGATGGTCTTCAATCAACGTGGAAGGTGGCCGCCGCCTGCCTCATGATGTGTGCGTACTCGCACTTTGTCAAATGTTCCTCATACTCGCATTTATTGTTGTAATGGGATTACCGAACGTACAATCTGTGAGCTGGACCGTCCTACCATACTTGGGTTCCTCAGCGTGGCATATTGTACGGAGCTCTACTCCAAGAAACTGCATCAAGACAATCACAGTCGTTCGATGGTTGCATAGGCTGCATGCTCATGGGAGTGGTGGAGGGAGCCGTGTATAGAGGAGCAAGTACGACGGCGGCTGTGTGCTGCGGCACGGCGTTAGATGTCAGCGAGCTGGCACGGGTCCTCTCTGCTATTGACTGCCAGAATAAAGAAAGTTTTAGCTGTGTATTAATCAGCCGATATAATTGTTTATTTTTCTGGAGCGCCGAACAGCTGCCGTTTGCAGATCTACCATGAACTCGTGCCGCGCCTCTCAAGTGTTGCGGCCCCGCATGAGGTGGGGTAGAGCCGGGGTCGCTAAGCTTCCCTTTGGCACCGCAAAAAACGCCGCACGGCCCAAAGCACGGAAACGCTTGAGCGATGGATCGGCCCTTCTCGATACTGACCGAGAAAGATTTTGTACTGCAGAGGGGAAGTAGGTCTACGCAGACTGTATCCTCGGTCTCGGCCAGCCCCTCGAGCAAGGTGAGGCGATTCTATCTGCCGGACGAAGAAGACGTCGAGGTCGCGGGCAACTTCCTAGTATGGATTGGCAGAGTTCGCTTGCCGGAAAATACACGCGATTCTATAGATGACTTTATCAAGCGCTGCAGAGACCTACTGGAATTGGGGCCACCACCAATGCGAGCTCGAGACGAAGACCAGGTCTCAAAGGCCCCTAGCTACCCTTCGGAGTTTCTCACCCGCATCGTGTTTATGGTGGTAGATATTGCAATTCCATTGGCAGGCGAGGCCGATAAAAAGTTGCGTTTGTTTCTGCCGGGACATCTGGCACTTTCCACAATTGCAGCCAAGAGAACGTCTATTATGGAAACGTTTCAGCTCTTGATAGAATTGGAAGAGCACGTCGGGAACAGAATTTACGCTGCTGGACTGTTCAGTAAGTCCTGATTACCATTTATGAATGTTTACTAACAACTTCACGGATGAGAAGCCTTTCACCAAACACGACCAGATCAGACTGAAAAATCAGCTTCGCCTGGTTGAACCAATCAACTGCCAGGCGTACGAGCCGCTCAGGCCAGGCAACTTGCTGCGTCTCTTGTGTCGTCTCGAGTAAGATGAATACGAGAGCTCTATAGCTCGAAACCATAGTAACTAATTGGTGGAGCAGAGATGATGCCATTGAAAAAGCATTGCCGGGCGCCATACAAAGCTTTTCTCCATATCTCGTGGAACTATACCCATCACACGAGAGCACCAAAACCGAGCTTTCACCGGAACAAAGTCTATTGATGGAACTACACGATAAAGCACAAGAAGAAACTGTCATGATGATGGAGCACAACACGGAAGGAAATCGGTATCGCGCTTGTGCAGAATTCCAGACGAAGGCCGTCAAGTACCTCAAGAACCTCAAGAAATCGGGTGCTGATCTCGGCGAGCCAGTTCAAGCTCCATGTCTTGTGAAGCTGAGAGGTAAAGGGTCAGGCTGTCGTGCTGACGATAACTTCGGCCCTGTACGGTGCGTAGCCATCGCTTACTTCAAAGGGAGTCGCAAAATTATAGTTTCAGGTCAAAGTTTGTCTTGGTCAAGCAGCCAAGCGCTTGTCTTTGGCAGAGATTTGGAGCTACCTGACGATCACTACATGTTCGTTCACTTCCAGCGCTTTTCAAACCGGTAAATGCATCATTACAAGCAGCATTTTTTTGAGGCAAACAATGACACGTTCCGTCTTTCTGATGTCCATTTCGGTCTAATTGTTGGGCTAATTTTAAAGATTCCAACTAGTTCTTGCTCATGCCTCCACCTGCATCTTCGGACTTGTTGTTCTCAGCCGTAGAGCGCTCTGCGTCTTTTCTTTCGAGGTCGCTCAAGTTGACAACTTTACCAACAGGGACTTCGTGGAGGTAAATAACTCCAACAGAAGGGACTTCGTGTGCTGGTGGCTCGATAGATGCAATCGCGGTTGTGGCACCATCACCTTGGGTAGGGCCTAGCAGCAGGATTAGTAGAGCCCAGTCAGTAAGCAGAACACCTACTTTTGTCCGTAATATTATCAGGCATTATGCGTAGAGGAACCGTTTGCAGGTGCGCTTAACTGGGACTGTGTGTATGGCTTCGCCTTCCCGCCTTTATACGCCTGGACAAAGCCTGGCGTGTTCAGCTCGCCCCTGCATATGCTTTAGCCAGCATGATGTTGACCTACAGCCCGGCCACGGATTCTTACAGCGCCATCACTCGGAGAATGTTTGCAGGCTTGGGCTGAATCTTCCATATTGGTACAAGCCGACTTGTAGGGTTCAGCGGCTGGCGACAAGAGGTGCAGACTCGCGTCGGATTCACAGTAATTTTGGCATATCACGAAGTCTATCATTCCACATGAAAATGTGCCAAGCTTTTTAACGAAGTAAAAGGGCACTCGGTGACCGATGTTGAGTGTACCTGCGCCACGCTCGCGCAACATGATGACGGTGAGAGAAGTGTTCGCCCGTACTTGGTTAGCGCTACTGTTTAGCTTGGGTTGTAGCAACTTACATTCTCTTCCACTCACACTTGTCTGCAGTTTTCACTTTTCAGCAAACTGCACTTTTCGGCAAGCTGCACTACTTTCGGCAACCTACACCTCTCTGCTCCACTCACACTTGTCGGGCAATTTCCACTTTTCGGCAAACTGCACTTTTCGGCAACCTTCCCGTCTCTACTCCACTCACAGTTGTCTGCAATTTTCACTTTTCAGCAACCTACATGTTTCCGCAGCCTGCATTTTTTGACAATCTGTACTTTTCGACAACTTGCTTTTTTATGCTCCACTCACATTGCTTTGCAAATCGCCCTCCTCGCGACCTGCATATTTCGGCAACCTGCATTTTTTTGCCACTTAATGTTATTTCACTTTTCTTGCATTTTTCGGGCTCTCCTGCCCCTCGCAATTTTCTGCAACCTGCACTTTCTGCAACTTTGCACTTTTCTGCAACGCATCCTTTTTTGCTTTGGCGTTAACTTTCGCGTTATGGGCATAGCACCCCGGCGTCGCCAGCGCTACGAGAGCATGTGCCGTACAGTAGCCGCACAACGCTTGACGACGTATGCCGAGTATCGCATAGAGCTACTCATACCATTCGCTCACTACTTCTCAACTGTAGATGCGAGGAACGTGACGGATCTGTCGACGACGCTGAAAGATTTACAAACGTTCTACAAGAAGAAAAACTGCGCAAATGACTCGGAAGAAGAATTGAGGAAAGCTCTGCTATCAGATAGTTACAAGTACGTGAAGTCCTTAGAAAACCCCGGCGCCGCACTATTTGGTAAGTTTTCTTGAACTGCTTTGCTGCCTGCATTACTAAAAAAGTAGAACTGGGTAGATTCTTCGCGTCACTCGAAATCCAGGACGAATATTATCGAGCATCATGGCTTGGATCTGTCGATGATTGTGCCGTGGAACTTCACAAGCTGATTGCACGCGTGCCCAGTGCACAACACCAAGGAACGGCTAATGGCCCATCTGGCTATCTAGTCGCTGTACAATGCGACTATGCAAAGCTCCTGCAGTGGCTCCAAGGATGCTTGGCGACCGGTATTCAAGCCGCTGCTTTGAGGAGACAAGAGGAATTTCAGGAGCGATTTGTTACGACGACGACTGCGCACCTATATGTGCCACGACAGTTCGGCCTTGACTTTATTCTGTCCATCAAAATCTCGTCTTTCATGGCCCGCGCCTTGAGAGAAGCAACATCTCAAGGAAATGTGCTTGAAGCACTTGTCGGCCCAAATATCTGGCAGGGCATGAAAGGCAGTCATAAAGCACAGGTCGAGTCTATTGAGAGCTGCATAGAGATATGTTCTAAGGAACCAAGCCAAGACTGGGAAGTCAGAGTTACAATTGATTACAGTTCGGGGAAAGCTGCGATGACAAGAGTGTATGGTTCGAGCAATCTATTTCAATAATACATCTGTGTCAATTACAAGCACACCAGTACCCATATCCAGCTTTTCTCCAGCATTGTCGCTCTCTGTCTTCTTCACGATCACAGGCGAGCCGTCCGGTTTGTGTAGAGTTGCTGTCCCAGTGCTTGCTCGCCATGCGATGATGCGCTCCCATCCAACTGGGGGAAAGTAGTGATGTTTGATAAATTCGTACTCGCCGTTGTTCGTTCTTGCTTCCTGTTCGAGGTTAGAGGAATCGTTGCGCAGAGAAACAGGCGACTCACCTCAGGCATTAAGTTGGTATTGGAGTGCGAAAATGGGTTGTTGTAGTCTGTCTATCTGTCCGCGGGGTTGCGCGAAAAAAGGATGACGAGCCCAGCTCGGCCCACATTTGGGCAGCTAGCGGGAAGCTCGTCGTGTGTTACAGGGCACAAACAAGTTGATGCAAAATGGCAGGCAAGACATAAAAACGAGGCTCCGGTCGAGAAAGCTCAAGATTATTGTCGCCCGTCAAAGGTCTTCAATTATCGAGTTGAGCTCGTTATGCAGATACAGCAGCCAAGTCAAGTTGACGACCACGTGAATCCGGCTGGCTAAGATCAGCCCAAACAACGTTGTACATAACGTGACTCTGACCCACTCTAAAATAAGATTGCACAAAGGTGCAAGTTGTAGAAAAGTACGAGCAAGGAAAAAACGCAAGTTGCGGAAAAGTGCAGAATAGTACAGGAGGGGCGTGTATATAACTTAACATTTGCCCCGTGTCCACATTCCGTCTCACATGTTGTCCTCTCAATCAGACCCCAGAAGAGAACCCCGCTGTACATCGGCGGCAGTGTTAGACCTCCAGCTTGAGGCTTCAAGGTGAGCAGGGGTTATCGTACGCGTTAGGTTTGTGACCAGGGCGAAAATATGTGCCCGCTAATTAGCCACCTGATTAACTTCATAGTCCGACGGCTTGGCAACTGCAAAATGACTGCCATCGATTCCAGGACCAGCTAGGGAAGCTTGTCATTTCTCACACTGACTGGCTTCGCTGAGCGAGCCAGCCACGCTGCCAATGCTGCAGGCCCTGACAACTTCAGCCCCCATCTCCTCTGATCCTTCAGTCGATGGTGTCGCAATGCATGGCTCCACCGCTGCTCGGGCTGAACAAAGCAAAGATGCTCGGCATGGTTAGCAGGCCGCGTTGTGGCCCGGGGTGTCATCATTGCCAGCAACATTTCTGCCAAGGAAGCCGCTTGTCATGATTACCCCGGTCCCCCACAGACTATCAAGTCTACCCCTGCCTGATCCCCTTGCTTGGAACGCTTTATCGTAGCCGGTCCGAGTATGCTTACATAGCAAGCGAGACTGATGTAGGTACTCGAGAACAGAACTGGCCGCCGTAGATCGGTCATGTTCTCCTTCCAGCATTAATAAGAACTGCGTTGTAGGACCTTCTCTTCACCATACTAAGATGCATCGTTGCGCGTCCCTACACCACCACGTCGACCATTGTCAATACCGTCCCACACGTTGCTCAAGCTACTTGGCCGTCACGGTTTAACAATGCCTTCTAGATTATACACGCACGTATTGACAGTGGGTGCCAATGCTATTTCCGAGGTCGATACTGCGTGGACTGGTAAACACCTCCTTGCCTTGCGCTTTCCGCGCCTCTTCCCCATGCCAGACATGTTCTCTTACCAAGCACCCGGTTTTCTCCCGTTGTGTAGATTCACTCGAGCAAGGTAGAAGAGTAGAGAACGTCATCTGGAAAGTCTGGCAGCGAGAGCAGCTCGTCGACGACGAGAAGCGACCCTACACCTCCGCTACGGCTCACACTTCGCCTCTGACACCCCCCTCGTGTCCCCAAGATCTCCCACAGCTCTCTGGTAGCATCGATTCACTGTTTGGCGAAGATGCCACCGAGTCTGTTTGCGAGTTTGCCCCTATGGGAATTCGTCCCAGAATTCATCGCCCCGACTCTACTAGCAGCCATGGCAGGCGCAACCACCACATCATCCCTGACGACTTGAAAAAGATTGTCGTTTCTATTGTCAACGACACTGCTCCTCTCTCCGCACCCACCGCTACCTCCCCTCTTGCTCCCAAGAAGGAGACGGCTCCCATCGCACCAGCCCCGACTGCGGCCGAGCCCACGACTAACATAGCTACCAAAACGCGTGCGCTCATGCCCTCTGAGCTTCCCGTTCACGACTCGTCTCCACAGCCCTCGCAGATTGAGGTCACCAGTCCCGAATCCGAGGCTGCTCCCGCCCATCAATCTGTCGCCCAGAAGAAGGCAGCGGCCAAGTTTGCTCTTGGTGGCTCCTGTTCTTCTAGTGAGCAGCGCAGCGATTCTTCCGGGTCCGCTTCTACCAAGAGCGACATCCAGCCCGCCAAGCCCGTCCTCGCCGAGAGTATCGCATCCACCAGCCGCAAATCTCAGCCTGAGGCAGATTGTGCTATCGACTCAGATACTGACGACGACTACGTTGGTAAGAGCGCCGTTGACGATGACGACTCCTCTGATTGGGAAGATTCCACGGAAGAGAGTGGCAAATCGAGCGTTGACGAGAAGTTTTTCCAGCGCATCGAGCCCGAGGTGAACCTGATTTCCCGCCCCTCGCTCATCAGTCTCATGTTCGATAATAAGCGCATAACGCTCGGCGCCTCTCCCAACAATTCCGATGAGGGCCCGCTGATGATGAAGGACATGCGTCCTGTCAGCGCCCAGCCCATCATTGCCCCTACCAACAAGCACCCTCAAGCAGGCCTGTCGCCGCGAACCACCCGCCGCAACATGCTCGCTACCGAGCTTACCGAGTCTCTCCGCCGCCATCTACTCTGGGAACGTCAGCAGAAGACGTCGACTGCAAACGCCGTCCTCAAGCGCCGCCATACCTCTCACGACGTCGCCAATCTGAAGCAGTTCCGAAGCCCTGTCTGAAGAAGAGCGAGGATGCCAACGCAAGCCATTGGGATCATTATCTCAGAAAGAATGCCTTGAATGGCTACCATTCCAGCGGCTGGTGAAGACGGTGTAGCATAGTTTTGAAAGCTACTACAAGAGCAGGCCTCGGGAATGGCTAGCTTATCAAGCTGTCAATACATTGGTCAGCATCGCTAGAAGAAGCAGGCCGATTACTGTCAAACAATATCCTGTTTGTCCACGCCCGTCCACAAGTTATATGTCCCATCTCCCACGAACAGCATTTCTTCCTCGGAGTTTGCCGGCCGGCGACCCTAGAGTGCCATATTGGTCATCTTGTTTCTGGTGGCCACGCCAGCGTATAATGCAGCCAGGAATCACCAGTCGGCAAAAATCTCCAGTCGGTGCGACTGACGTAATAGATTGAGCCTGGTCCAGCGCTGCCCTCAAATCAAATCACATCAAACAAACTGCCAAACAAATCAAACAAACCAATGCCAAAATATTTATCAAACAAACAAATATGTAATTCTTGATTTGACTTGCGTTTGATACATTTGATTCGACTCTGTATTTGTTCAGCCGCTGCACACATGGGAGGCCGTCGAAAGCAACCCCTACCCTGGACATCAACCTGGTTGATAGCAGGGTACATAAAAATCGCGATCGTGTTCCTGAACATCCTTCCTCTTACATCTACACTGGTACCCACCTTTGTAGAGAGAATTTTCAGCCACCCAAACGCACGCCCAGTAGACATCAGCACCGAGCGAACCCTTCAGCGCTCTTGCGCAGCCGCAGGCAATGGCGATCGGCTGGGATTCATCGGACAATACAAACTGTTGCAAGCGGCCAAGATACAAGCAAAGACTGCAACACAG